CACATAAGAGCGAGTGCCACGATAAAGGACAGAGTGCTGTGGCACCAACAGGGAGGGTGGTGTCTCTCTCTCAGGGGCCATCTGCAAGGCCTCCCCTCTCCTGAGCCCCCAAGAGGGAGGCCACTGGAGCCTCCAACAAGAACATGACTGGCCTCTCCTGGCTCCATTGGAGCAAGACGGCCCACCCCAGAGGCTTGCTGGCTAACTGAGGGGGGCAACGCCCTCTCTTCTTCCTCCAACCCACAAAGAGCCCAGCCCAGGCCTCTTGCCAGCCTCCATGTGTCCCCTCCTAGTCACAGGGGAGCACACAAAGACCACAGCAACTCAGCAGGAGCCCCAGGGTCCTACTATCCCCTGCAGGTCGCCTGGTCCCCTCCCCCATCAAGCACTGTCATGGGTGAGAGGCAGCCTCATGTCACCAAAAGGCATGCAGCTATTCCCCAAATGCCAGGCTCCAGGCCGGCCCTGCCACAGCCTGCCATCTGACCGTGGAGAAATCACTCCGTAATAAGTTCCCAATGGCCACCTATTTGGTGCAATGCGCCAGGCACTGGGCCAGTGCTTGCCTGTGGTGTCTCACCTAGTCCTCACCAAGCCCTGAGAGGCAGGGCTCCTATGAGCCCCACGCTGTGCAGGAGGAAAGCAGGGTTCGGAGGAGAGGCACCTGCCCGAGCTACACACCAGGCAGCAGGGGAACCCGGATCTGAACCTCGGTCTACATCTGTACCTTCTCTGTAGGCCTCAGTTTCCTCTTCTGTCAAGTGAAGGGGTGGGCCCAGATGATCTCTAACTTTCCTCCCAGCTACAGAATGGAAAAGACGTGTTTGCATAAATATGCTCCCAGCCCATGTGTCTGGTGATGCCCACACCAGATGCGGAGGCCCTGGAGGCCTCCTGCCCTCACCAAGGATGCAGAGCAGTGCCTGCTGACAGCCCTGTCGCCTCGCCCCATCCCTGAGGCACAGCCCTGCGGTTGTGAGGGAACGGCTGGCTGGCCCCCGGCTCCTCACTCTCCACACCGCCCTGCGCCCTCTCAGCCTGCACAATCCCTTCTTTCCCTGAGAAGCCCTCCTCTCTTCGCTCCACCTGGTTCCTCTTCTGCTGCCTCCTCAGCTGGGACCGGCCAGGATCCCGTGTTCACAGGGTCATGGCCACCTGGGGATGGAGGGACTCTCAACCTCAGCTCTCCGGCCCCCTGCAGCCCCTCTCAAGGCAGCCTGCCTCCCCTGGATGCTCTCGGCAGAGTGAGGACGACTCCCTGTCACGCTGCCTGATCCACTCTCGCTGCATCCTCTCTGCGGGCTGAGGGGTCAGTACCTGGGCACATGTGTCTCCACCTGTGGATCCACCTGTGCCAGCAGGGATGCGATCCCATTTACAAATACAGGCACTACAGCCCCAAAAGGCCACAATGAGGTCCCAGACCACACAGCCCTAAGCTGATGACTCGGGATTCAAATGCAGGACTGTGCAGCTCAAGGCCCGCGCTCTTCCTGTGCACCAGGCTGCCTCCCAAAACTCCGCTTCACGTTTTCAAGGGCAGTTGGAACTGCTAGAAACAGGACAAACCTTACTTCTCCATGAAGGCTCCCTTCTTCCCTAGAAGGCTGAGGCAGGACATTTGAATGCCTCCAATGCATCTGTCACAGTGGGTCAGGACAGAGCCAGACTGCTCTTGGACTCGGGACTAACCTGGCTCCAGGAATCCCAGACCCAGTCCCTGAACCCAGTACCTGAGCTTGAACGAGGCAGAAAGCAGGGGAGAGCACGCCTCCCCCGGGCCTCTGCTGTCAGAGAGAGCTGAGGGAGTCCTGGCAGCCTTCTTTGCCAACAGAATCCCAGTAGGACTTTCAAGGACTCCAACAGCGAAGGAAGGCCAGAGATAAAGAAGAACAGGTGTCCCAAGAGGCCCTGAATTCTCAGACAGTAGATGGCAAAGAAAAAGTAGCAACTGAGCCCCAAAGGTACAACAGCACCCTTCTCCGAGTCCCTGTGGCCCCGAGAAGGGCTACCAAGCCCCCCCACCGCGTTTCCACACAGACATGGTGGAGGGGGCAGCATGCAGCTAAATGTGGGGGGGTGGAAGTGCCAAGGGACTCCACACAGTCTTACAAGGCTGCAGCCTTATCAGCCCAAAGCATCAGTGCAAGATCCTGGGTCACCCAGGCCAGGCCTTCCCAGACAGTGAGCCACAGGTGGAGACACATGTGCCCAGGTACTGACCCCTCAGCCCGCAGAGGCCTGCGATCACCTGAGCTCCCCGCTGCTCTGTGCACGCAGTGTGCCAACAACACTGCTACATCAGTGCGCCCTGATGGGGAAAGCTGGGGAGCATGGCCCCCAGCTCGGGTCTTCCTGCTTCAGAAAGAAACGTCAGGCCTGGAGCAGGGAAGGAAGCTGCCTGGAGGCCTCAGCCGACGTGTGGCAGAGAAGGCAGCAGAATCCGGGCCTCCTGACCCCCAATCCAGCCTTCTTGCTGCTGCGTAGCCACCACAGCCCACCAAGCCAGGGCCTCCCCACCCAGTGATACACCCAAGTTTGCCCAGACCGGGCTGCCCACACACCAACCCTAGGCCTGCTCTGGGTGGAGCGGGCTCAACTGAGCCGAGGAAGAGGGAACTGTCAGAGATGCCGGAGCCTTGTTCTGACTGTGGGGAGAGATCCCCATAGCCCAGGGATCCAGGGTCGTGTGGGGCCCAGTTACGTCTGGGCAGCAGGTAAAGGAAGCTAATTCAGTGAGCCACAGACCCAGTAATCTCCTCATTTGTCTTGTCAACATCCTTGTCCCGTGGAGTGTCAAGTCCATTACATAAAGATTTTCTGCTAAGAAGATACTTAATATGTGTCAGGGAAGCAGCAGCGGCCTGAGCTAAGGTGAGGACCTCTGATCTTCGACCTTCAGGGAGCAAGCCAAAGCTATTTCTTTACTGGAGGTAAACCCAGTGCCTCCCACCCCTGCAGTAGCACTCAGTGGGACCTGAGCTACTGGTAGGGTGGGAAGTGGGTACATCTGGGGCCGCCGAGACATCCCCAGCATAGCATCCACGTGCCGATGATATCCTCAACTTGCATCTGAGCCCCAAACACTGTCTCAAAAGGAGCAGTCCAACAAGAATTTCTATCCAAAACTAATCAGGAAATGTGAGGATCAGAACGTCTGCTAGGAGGGCCCTCAGTCAGCCCACCATCCAGTCCAGCCCTGTCAGATGAGCAAGGCTTACCATAGAGTGATCACGGTGCCCACAGGCAGAGCTAGGATGGGAACCTGCTCTGAGCCCAACACGTCTGCTGTTACCCAACTGGGCAGGGTGCTCAACACACCGACCAAAGTCTCCATTCCATTCAGCACCAACCCCAACCCCAGCCACCACCATGTCCAGATGCTCTTTGCCCAGTGCCTTCCTTTTCGTGGGGGCCCAGGATTTCTCCCACCAGGACATGCATATCATCCCATCCCAATTCCTTAGAGCATGCATTCCCAACAGGAAAAGAGGGTATCACCCCCAAGGGAACAAAAATTGCTTCTTGGATAGGCAAAAAAGTAGCTATTACAGTAGTCTGTGGCCCTCCAAACCTCAACACTATCTGACAAAACGTCATTCTTTGGCATTTGCGATGGACTGAATTGTGCCCCCAAGATTTCACATGCTGAAGCCCTAACCCCCAACATGACTATATTTGGGGACAGGGTTTTTCGGAGGTCATTAAGTTTAAGTGAGATATCGCCCTCATTATGGTGGAGCCCTGATCCAATAGGACACGGCCTTATAAGAAGAGGAAGAGTTCTCCCCACCCCCACAACTCCCTGCCCCTCGCCCTGTGAGGATGCGGCGAGAAGGCGGCCATTTGCAAGCCAGGAAGAGCACCTCACAGAACCCGCACCCTGCTGGACCTGCACCTTGGACTTCCAGCCTCCAGAAATGTGAGATAATACATCTCTATTGTTTAAGCCACCTGTCTGTGGTCTTTTGTTGTGGCGGCCCAAGCCCAAGACAGTATTTCTCTAGTTAGAGAGAATTTGTTTTTCTCCTTAGCGGGGTAATAATTTTAAAAACTGTTTGAGCAGCATGGTCCTGGAGAATTCTTCAGGAGAAAGGACGTGGGTCTCACTGGAGAGTCCTTGTCTTCACAGTTTAGAGCAGTGCGTCTCATCTGGCAGCAACTGTGCCCCAGGGGCATTTGGTAATGTCTGGAGGCCTTTTTGGTTGTCGCAACTTGGAGGGTTGCTACTGGCATCCAGTGGGCAGAGGCCAGGGATGCTGCTAAACATCCTACAGCACCCAGGACGGTTCCTCTCACAAGGGAGCATCACCCAGGTGAGGTGTCAATGGCCCTGCTGTTGAGAACCTGTTTAGAGCAAAGGAACTTCAGCTGTCTTCAAACACTGCCACAAAACTGCCTGGACACCGGAGGCCGACGTGGGGGTGCCTGGGACCAGAGTCCTCAGAGGGGTTCAAGAAGTGGAGTGCTCTCGGGGGGGGCAGGGAAGCCCGGAGCAGAATGATGGTGGTGACAGTGACACCAGCTGCCACAGCTAACAGTTCCAGAGTGCTTGCATGCCAGCAGCACGCTGAGCCCTCCCTGTGCAACCACTGGCTCAATCAGACCTCACGACAGTCCAACGAGGTAGGTACCCCCGGCACAACTGAGGAAACTGAGGCACGGAGAGGTTAAGCAACTCAACCAAAGTAGAAGAGCTCCAAAGCAGAAGAGTCAAGGAACTGGAAAGAAGGGCCCAGCAAGGCAGGACAGGTGACGAAATAGGGAGTGACACCAGGTTTCAGATTCAAGGCCTTGTGCAAGGCAGGCTCAGGCTGGCAATTCCCGGAAACGCTTTCCTCCAGGCACCACCGGGGGGGGGGGGGGGGTTGTCTCCTCTCTTACAGAGGGGGACCCAAGGCCCAGAAACGTGAAGGGATCGCTGGGCCCGGGCCCCACTGCCCGCTGCCTGCCACCCGCTGCAGGAACAAGAGGCCCGGCCCCGGTGCAAGCGCACTTACCTGAGAAGATGGACGCAAGCCTGAAGATGTCCGAGAGGCGGGAGGTGGCCGGCTCGTAGGGCGAGGCTTCGTAGAACTCCTCCCCTGGAAGAGAGGACCGCCTGAGCCCCGAGCCAGCTGGCTCTCCCGCACAGCGCAGAGCGGCAGGGCGCTCCCCGGCTCTCCCGCCCTCCCTCCCCCAGCCCTCTCCTAGGACTTCCTCAGGCTTCTGGAAGAAGGTGCGGGGGGAGCCGGGAATAGCCCATGGAAGGCCAGGTGCGAATCCTGGGATGCCTCCACGGCCGCCCAGTGCAGCTTCCTCATTTCACAGGAGGGCTCTGAGGTGGCCCAGAGAGGCAAAGCAAGCTGCTGAGATCACACAGCTATTCCCAGCAGAGCTAGGGCTGGACTCCAGTCTCCTGGCCCTCACACCCGCATCCTCTCCCACCACAGAATGGCCTCTTTGCTTCCACCGTGTCACCAGAAAACCTGGCTCGAGTAGCTACAGGTCCGCTGCACAGAGGCAGGAGCCCAGCTCCTAACTGCCTGGCCCCTCCTGCCCCCCACCTGCCCTCCCCACCCCCTGCTGGCTTCTCCACCTCACTGCGAGCTTCGAGCTTCGGGGTGATCAGAGGCTCAGCGAATGAGAAAGCAAGCTAGCGACTAGAGGAAGTGGCACAGAGCCCCAGCACCAAATAGGGACTCCCGCCCCCCCACCAACGCATCAGTGGGAAAGGAGACACCCCTGAGACGCCCTGAGGAGAATTCAGTGGAGTCATGGGAGGCACCTGGCGAGGGGGCACAGAGACAGGTGATGACCCCCAGCCTCCACTGCCCTTCCAACCATTACCCGTCCTCCCAGGCATTCTCCAGTCCCACCTCCCCCGAGGCCTGCAGGGCCTCACGGGCCTGGACGTCTCAGTGTCCTCCACTCTACACACTAGCCTGTGCTGGGTTACCAGCCACTACCATCTTTAGGGGCCAAATAACGGAAGAGCTTAGGAAGCCCTTTTATAATAAAAACAACGTCACACTGTGCCTTCTACCTGCCGGCACTAGTGGAAGTGCTTTAGATGTACCAACTCATTAATCCTCTGGGTTTCTCTAGGAGGTAGACACCATGATTCTCCCTATCTGACTGACAAGGAACTGGGGCACAGAGATGCCAAGTAACGTGCCCAGGGCCACACAGCTAGTAGGTGGCAGAGCGAGGTTTCAAACTCAGGCTGTTGGCCCCAGAGTCCAAGTACTTAACTACAATGAATACTACTGCCGAAAATAAAAAGTGTTATTGAAACCAAATTGTTCTTAAACAAGCACTGCTGTTGGTTAAGTTTTCACAGCATCAGCCTTCTGCCCGCTGGACGCTCGCCCAGAGCAGGGCTGGTCCTTCCCTCCAGCATCTGGTGGGCCATGCCTGAGCACAGATCAGCTGGTGTGGCTGACAAGGGGCGTCTCTGGGGGAAAACATCTTCTCCCAGGACTGGTTAGGAGGGGCCATCGTATTTAAGTCACCTCACTCCCCGCTCCCGCGGGAGAACGCCCCACTGGGGAATCCGAGACCTGGCCACTTGGGCGTCCCGGCAGCCAGACTGACGCCAAACCTCAGCTGTCAGATTCCTGGCCTATGACCTGGGAGAGGACACAGGGGAGAACCCTTGGCTCTTCACCTCTGAAGGACCAAGGTGACGCTGAAATTCAGTGTCACCTGTGGAGAAGGCAAGAAGCCTTGTCTCCAGTCCCACAGTGACAGCCCCACCACATGGTGGTTATGGTAGCAGCGATGACAGAAGGTGAAGATGGGCCCAAGGCCACAGGCTGTCCCCCAGGGCAGTGGAAGGGAGTCTGGATAAGGAGTCCGGGGTCCACCACCAGCTTGCTGCGGCCCACGAAGCCACTCCAGCTCCCTGCAGCTCAGCTTCCCACCCAAATGGAGGTGGGACCAAATGACCTCGAGGCCTCTTGCAATTGGGACTGTCTAGCAGCTGAGCAGAGGCCACACTCCTGCCACCACCAGCTCTGTCCACATGCTCGGGTCCTCAGACTCTGCACTGCGCAGCAAGCTCAGCCTCAGGTCGAGGGAGAAGGTGGGGCCCAGTCTCCAGTCGAGCCGAGGAGAAGCCCGGATCCAAGGGCAAACCCATACTGTTCTCTCCTCTGGGAGAGCCGGCCCCAGCCCAGGCCCAGGCGGGCTGCTGAGCACCGGGAAGGAGCAGGGAGGAAGTGCCCGCAGCCTGCCCCAGGCGGATACTCCCCGCACCATGACCAGTCACCCCCAGCTAGATCCTGTCACTGGCAGGAACACCCTCTGCGGTTAAAAGGCCTCTGGGGGTCCCCTGGTCAGCCCTGGGCAGAAGCTACCTCCAGCCTCCCCAGATCCATGGGGAGGGGATTGTGGGATGCCGGCAGGGGAGGGCAGGGCTCTGAGGAAGGAGAGAAGCAGGCGTCTGCTTTTCTAGAGTGGGCCAGGGGAAGGGTCCCCCAGCCGCACGCTGGCCGGCACAGGGAGCACGGCGTCTTGTGCTCTCACCCTCTGAAGCACATAGTCAGAGCTTAAGAGATGTTTGTGGAGTAAACGAGCCAACAAACCATCTCAAGACTCGGAATGCCATCTCGGTCAGGCATTCCTGGAGGAAAGGACGATGAAGACCCACAGCGATGCGCAGCATAAATGCACAGTATGCTTACTGTCACCCCCATGACGCCTCATTTCTCCAGCAAGTCCTGTGTGCTCGGATGCGGTGATGCCCGAGGGAGCCGCTCGGGTGGGCAGATTCTCAGGCGGCCACCTGCTCTTCTAGCTGGCAGCTCCTCTGGCCCCTCCCCTGTCCATTCTGCAGCCTGCGGCCACCCCCGACCCTGGTGCCCAGTCGCCCTGGGGTGAAACTGAAGGCTGCCGGGAAGAAGATAAGAAACTAAAGAAGCCCGCTCACTGAGTCAGGGACCTTCATCTTCCGTGCATGACAGTCAGCCTCGGGGTGAAGACACTCCTCGTCTCACCAAGAGCAAAGTGCAGGGCACTGGGGCAGTGTTTCCCTCTTGGCTCACTTCAAGGTCTAGGACTCCAGGTCACCGGAAGTGGGCGGAGGAGCTACTTTGTTACTAGTGGTGGTGACACTATTAACAGTTACATGCCTGGCTGATTCCTCTACTCAGGGCATATTCGAACCACCTCAGCCACTGGTCAGGAGTCCCTCACCCTCCAGCCTCCACTGCTGATCCACTCTCTCCCTCCCTTCCAGCCCCTGGAGGCAGTGCTGCTCCTGCCATCTAAGGCTAGCCCCTTCCCCGGGCCCTGGGCCCACCCCTCGCCCTTCCTCACCTCAGCATCTCCATCACCACTGTCCTACTTTAGAATTTAAACTGCTCAATCCTCTCACATCTTCACAAAAAAAGTCGGGGCTGGCCCTGTGGCCGAGTGGTTAAAGTTCCGCGCACTCCACTTTGGTGGCCCAGGTTCACAGGTTTGGATCCCCGGTGCAGACCTACTCCACTCATCAGCCATGCTGTGGTGGCAACCCACATACGAAACAGAGGAAGACTGGCACAGATGTTAGCTCAGGGCTAATCTTCCTCAAGCAAAAAAAAAAAAGAAAGATTGGCAACGGATGTTAGCTGAAGGCAAACCTTCCTCACAAAAAAAAACCAGCATTCTTTGTTCTTCTCTGCTCTTCACACCAAACTTCTAGACACTGTTGTCCACATCATCATCCACAGCTCCCATTCGCGCCCTAACCAGGCTTCTGCTCTGAGCAGCCACCTAAGCAGCTCACCCCAATGGCATCAGGGACCCTTTGCCATCCTCTCCTGCTGGACTTGAAGTATTGGGGGCTGTTATTCTCCTTCCCTGTGAGAGTGAGCGAGTGAGCTCCCCCCAGGGCTCCCGCTGTTCCCCCCTCTCCCCCAGAGCCTCCTCAACACCCTTGCAGGCTCCCTTCCTCCCTGCCCATCTGTAAATGTCGGCAGCCCCAGGGCTCCATCCCTGCCCTCCTCCCAGTGCGACGCCTGGGCAGCACCTACAGGTTGTTGGCAACTCTGAAGTCTCCGTGTCCGGTCCCCCTCCTGAGCTCCAGCCCTGCATGCCCAGCTGTCTACAGGGCACGGCCAAAAAGAGGCACAGGCCCCAAAATAAGCTCGGCATCTCCCACCCTCCCCCCTGGCACTTCCCTGCTTCTTGTGAACGGCCCCATCACCCACCCAGCGGTCCAATACACAGGACAGGTGCAGTCCTCAGCTCCTCTCTCCCTTCCTCTGTTGATTCTACTTCCCAAAGGGCTTCTACACCCTTTCTCCCTCCTGCTCCATGCCCTTCCAGCCACCATTACCCCCGGCCCACCTCTCAGCAGTAGCCTCCAGCCTCCCCAGTCCACTCTCCTCTGCAGCCGCATGAAGGTCATCCCGACGCATAGAGTGGTCCTCTCACGGAAGACCTCTCAGGGCTCCCTGCCGCCCTCCCGCCCCACCCTCCCACCTCTCCTCAGCCCTCCCCACTCCCAACTCCCCCTCCTGGATTCTGAGTTCCTGGCACATCTGTAAGCCAGCTCAGCTCCCTCACACGTGGGCCTTTGCCCGAGCTCTCCCTGCTCCTCCCACGCCCCATGTCCCTTCACCACAACTGCAGCTCACTCTGCCGTCTCAGCCTGGAGGCTGCCTCTTCCAGGAAGACTCTTCAGATTTTGTAACAAGGGTAGAGACGCCCCCATCGGTGCCCCCACAGCACCCAGTGCTGCACCCCCAGGTGACAAAAAGTCCCTGAGCCATCTGCATCCCCAGGCCATGAGCTCCACGGAGGCGGAGGCTGCCCTAGCTTCTTCTCAATTGTTCCCACAATGCCTAGCAGACAGTAAACTCTCAATGAAAGTTGTTGAATTAATAAGTGAACAAAGTGAACATCTGGCCCAGGCGGCCACCCTCCCACAGTACCTGCAAACCCTCCACACTCCCGTCTGGAGGGGGGGAAGTGGGGGGAGGTGGGTATTGGGGGGCAGGGGGTGTGAGGTTCTGCCTTGGGACTTGGAGTAGGCTTGCCAAGGGATGCGGGACCCGCTGCCCTCACACTGCTCCAAGCCCCACAGAAGGTGCCCGAGCCAGCCAGGTGGTCACGAAGCCACCAGCCAGGCAGGCCTCCTGGGAGCAGGAAGAATGAGAAGGGACAGCCCTCAGCTCAGTGCCCGGTGGGGAGAGTGGGGGGCCAGTTTGCTCCCTCACAGCCCCACTCTGCATGCACATAGCCCGTCCTTCTCTCTCCCCGTTCTCGTCGCCCCATCCCCCTTCTGGTTACCACTTCACACCTCCCTCCACCTGTCCATCCGTCCATCCGTCCATCCGTCCTTCCCTGGTTTACTTCCGCTCCGCTCTCCTTTCTCCAGCCTTGCTCTCCTTCTCTCACTACCTCGCCCTCCCTCCTCCTCAGCTGTCCCCACTCCCCCTTCTTTGTCTCTCCTAGCCTCCTCCAGCAACAGCTGCCCTCCTAGGTCGGCAGCTACTCCCTCTGGGTTCTCGGTTCCCCTGGCAGGTAGAGACAGAGAGCTGGCCAGTCCTCCCTCTGAACCTCGGGCCCCACACACCCCTCACCACCAGCACCACGCCTCCCCCGGGAGGCCCACCCAGGCTTACCCTCGGTCAGCCCCAGGTGGATGCTCCAGTAGATCTGCAGACACTGCAGCTCCTTCTTCATGCCCCGCTTGCAGCGGCAGTCGTACAGCGGGCTCTCCTGCAGGACCTCCAGGGCCGCCTGGCATTCCTTGTTGGCCAGCATGGTGTTGCGGTCCCGGCCTGCCAGGCACTGCCGCAGCGTGCGGTAGCGGGAGCTGCAGTTGGATTCGGCCGCACACAGCTCATTGGCCCGGACACAGTCCACTGGCGGGCGCCAGCCGTGGAGCTCGGGGCCCTGCAGGGAGGAAGGGCTGGCCAAAGAGCGGAGGGTCTCGTCTGGGTGGTGGGGAGGGAAGACAAGCATGAATGAGGGTGCCACAACCTCAGACCCAAGATGCAGGCCTGGGGCCTCGGGCCCTTCTGGGAACTTCATACCTGTTTTATTTCAAAGCACATCAGGGCCAGCTCAATGCTGCCTTCCCCAACAGAGAGCAGGTCAGAGGAAGGGCTGCTGAAAGATCCCAAAACACCACCACCCCTCCCCAAACCCAAAGCAGAGTCAAGCTGCCATTCTGCCCCGGCTCTATCAGATGCTCCCCCGGTTCCACCCCGCGGTTCCTCAGCACCGGCCCTGGGCCCAGGAGCACAGCACAGTAAAGCTGGAAAGCCGTCGCTCAAGACCACAGACATCTAAGGCGCCAGGAGGCGAGAGAAGAGTGTCACAGCCTCAGCGGAGGGCCAGGAGCCGCAGGGCTCGCGGGGCTGCACGGGGGACTCTCACCTTCCTATTACCCAGGCCTCCTGTCAACCTCAGTTCCAGCCAGAGGGCTGGCCAAGGCGCAGGGTTGAGCCTTGAAAGCAACAGAAAGTATTTTAACTTTCGTAGCCTGCTAGGACCTTAGAGACACAGAATCCAGTCCCCACATTTTACCCCAGGGGAAACTGAGGCCCAAAGAAGGGAGATGACAACTCAAGATCACACATCGGGCTGAAAAGGCCCCTCGAACCCCTAGCCTATTCATTCAGAGTTCCGAGAGGTTAAGGGAAGACCCTCAGAGAGCAGCCTAACTCTGTGGTCTGAGGCAACCCCCGGAGGGAGGAGCTACCTCTCACGCCCAGCCCCTCCACACCCTCCTGCCCAGCTTCACACCAGCTGCCTTCCGCGGACAAGGTCTACCCAGTGCCCGCCGAAAGAAAGTGCTGTAGAAGATGCCCGACCAGCAACTCCACTGCCTCTCACTGCGCCTCTCCCCTGCCTCTCGCACACACTTCTCTTGCAGACTTCCACCTAAGAGGGCTAGTTCGCCATCCTTTTCTCTTTGAATGGCCTTGTGTTCTCTCTCCATCCCCTCCTACTTACTTTTTTCTTCCCTTCCTCTCCTCTCTGCCCTCCCTTGAAACACTCTCCCCCTCCGTCTCTCCTTTATTTTCTTCTTTCCAAACCCAAATAATAAGTCACTTGCAAAAGAGAAAGCGTTTTCCTCCTCGGCCCCTGGCCTCACTCGTGGAGCCTCCCCCTCCAAAAGTGAGCAAGCAGGAACCGGTCCACCCTTCTCATCCATCGCCCCAGGCCCCCAGCCCACCCAAACCCACAGTCCTCAGAGCGGAGGGGTCGGGGAAGAAGATTCATAAGTGAAAGGCAGGGAGAAGCCCGCCTGGTCCTTTCAGCATCAACCCCAAAATGGTTCCCTCTAGACACACACTTCTTCCCAGGCTCCCTGCCCTCTCCCAGCCCCTCATTCCAGATCTTGCCCCAGAAAAGACCCAGACCATAGCCCAGAACCAAGACTGGCTCTTCCAAGACCCAAGGAGTAATCCGGGGGGCTTCCTCCACTCCATCCTGTCCCAAAACACAATAAGATCCTACACTAGAAGTCCCCTCCTCAGAATCCCTCAGAATCCCCCCATCTCTACCCAGAACCACCACTTCTCACTCCTCCCCCAAGGAGGCCCTGCTCCGGGGGGAGCTACTGCAGGGAGACAGCGACACCTAGAGGCCAAGGGCTGCACGGCGACCCTGTCACTCCCAACAGACCCGAAGAGGGGAAAAGAACCACTCCTGGAGCCACCAGGCCTACCCTACGAGAAGGGGTGGAAGAGGAGCAGAGGCGGGCCTGGAAAGGAGAAGGCCTCAGCGTCCAGAGCAAAAGGCATTTCCCTCTCCCACTGACACACCTCTGCCTCGGGACAGGAGGAGCTAAAGACTGTGGCCAGGCGGAGTGGAGACCAGAGAAGAAACCAGCATGTAGTATGGGCATGGACAGCAGGGCGTCTGCCCAGGCACTGGCTAGAGAGATGTCCTCTGCCCAAGCTGGGGCAGCACCTTTATTTCCTGGCTTCAGCAAATTCCTAGGCCCCCGAGCAGGACTCGGGTGCATGTGGGCCACCCAGGAACAGCTGAGCTAACCGGCCTCAGTGGCACCTGCTGCCCCCACCTAACCAGCCTGCCAGCAGCCTACTAAAGCCTCAAGCACGGCCCAGTCCCGGGCCTTCCAGTGACTTGGCCCACCAGCACCCCAGCTGCCTTCTCCCCTCCCGCCCTGACTGCCCCTGAGTCTGCACTGTCTGTCGGAAGCAGACTGAGACAGGCGCATCCTGGCTGGCTTAAAGGTCAGGAGGTCAGCCCAGGAGATTGGAGCAATGAGGACATTTACTCCTGCTCTACAGGGTCCACAGCCCCAAGGGACAGTCCTTGCGGAAGCCTAGACTCCTGTGCCGAAAGCAAGGGCTTCCCCCATCCTGCCAGTGGGCACACGTGACCAGGGCAGGGAGACGCTCTGCAGAAGCCTGGTGCCTCCTCTCGCCGCACAAGCTCCCTGACTGCCACCTGTCCCTGACTCCTTGAGCTGGCATCATAACCCCCGGAACCAATCGAGCCAACCAGAGAAAGAAATCATGGCAACTCGGAGCCTTTGGCCAAGAATTCCAGGAGAGTAAAGGTTGGAAGGTATCCTGGTGATGTTCCCAAGTTCTAGACAAGGGAAATCTCAAGCTCGTCAAGAAAAGACACTGGGAGAACAGCTTCTAAAGACACAGGGAGACTGAGAGACCACAAAGAGCTACAACCGCCCTCCTGCACCGACTGTCGCCCCAAGAGCTACAGTGGGAAGTGGGCCCTCTCACCAGCCCTGCTCCCCATCACTTTCCCCACCTCATTCTCTCCGAGAATGTCAACACTGGCAGCCAGGACGGCTAGGCCCGAGAGGCCTCTCCACCCCCAGACCTCAGCCAGCACCTTGGGAGAGGCACACTGAAGACCCTTGCTCCTGGGAACAAGCTTCTAGAACTGGAAGTGCCCACCAAGTCTCAAGCTCCTGAAAACCCTCTCCCCCAAGTGGAAGCTCCACCTGACTCCCATCTGTGGGCTCCTTGCTGGGAAAGGGGCCCTGAGGCTGAAGCTTCCTTGACAGCAACCTACCCCTTCCTTCCTGGCGGGCCTAACCCGGAGCCTTTCAATATCCTGTGGTCACTCAGTTAACCCCTCACCCCAGCTTTGGAAAGGGCTTCTCAAGGGAAGGGAACTGAAGGGCTCTGACCAGAGAGACAGCTGACCAGCCCCTATTCCTCTCCTGCTCTCACCCTCCTCTCACCACTCAGCCCCCAGGGTGGCAGACCCCGGGCAGGCATCTCTGCCCACACCCCCACACACACCCACACGTGCACCAGAGAACAGAGTCCACACCTCAGCCCCCTCAGCTGGGAGAAGCCTGCCTGCAACCTGGGGGTCCGGGCCTGGAGCTGCCTGAGGGGCCCACGCTGCCCTCCTCCGCACGAGACCCCAGAAGGCACCATCCTGGGGGCCCTGTTGGCCAGCATGTGTGCAGCTCAGCAGCAGGCAATCTGGCTGCTTTTCCTGAAATACAGTTTTCTTTCTTTCTTGGTCCTGCTTACTGTTGGCCCCAGAAAGCTAGGTTTTCAAACCAGAAGTGGGAGAAAAGGTCAGGTTTTGTAATAGCCCATTCAGAATGAGAGTCCACTCACAGAGGTTACCGGAAAAGGCTGCAGGATCACAGTGGACCCCATGGGCCCCCAGCGCCTTCCCAGCTGCCCCCCTCAGGCCCCCCGCACCCTCACGCTGAGGGAGGCAGGCTGGTGAAGGCCACACCCTAAATCAGGGCCTTGCCCCCTGGGGATCTTAGGCCTTAGGGAGGGGAACAGGAAAGGGGCGGACAAAGGGCCAGGGCTGACCAGCACTGACTGGAATCCTCTGCCCTAGTCAGGAGGGCACTTTTTAGACCATCCACATCTTCCTGCGACAAGCACTTAGCTCCCCAGCCTTCCCCTCTCTCCTCACCCAGGAGGGAGAGGGTGCTCCTGACCCAGCTGGACAGCCTGGCTCACCGCTGGCTACACAGCAGGCCAGGGTAGGCTGGAACAGCACCCACCCTGAAGCAGATGTGTGCTCCTTCAACACACACACGCACACACACAGAGACAAGTTCCCCCCCTCCATCTCTGGAGCATCTACTCCCCACCAGCTCCGTGCCTGGGACTCCTGGGCAGCACACAACCTTGCAAACACCCTCTTTTCCTCACCTCCACTCCCAGAATGCTCTCTTTACCACTGTTTCCCAAGCAGCTGAGATTTCACATAGCACAACAGGGGGCGAGGGGCTGGGAATTCTGGGTGGGAAAGAGACTGCCCAGGTTCAGGGGCGCCAGGATGCTCCTCCTCCCTCCGCTTGGAGGAGTGGGCTCGCAGAATGAGCAGGGGGCTTTGTTCAGATCCAGTTTTTCCCCTCACCCCTCTCCTTCTTCACCCGAGGAAGCAAACTTTGGCCTCCCTCCTTCCTCTTTCCACCAGCTGCCTACGGGTCCCAGCCCCGCAGAGGCAGCAAAGGGAAGGCAGTGAAGGGCTGCTCACACCCTCCACTCCCGCCCGTCCATCTGCCTCGGGTCTGGGCGACAGGGAGGGCAAACGGTGGGGAGAAACTTGAGAAGTGTTCCAGGGGGTGGAGCCGCCCGGAAGGGGTCGGAGAATGGGAATCGGGGTGCATTTTCAAGAGGTTGATTGGCAGGTGGGGGATGGCTGTCAGCGCACCCCCCACAGACGTGCAGACAGGAGAAACCCTCGTCCTCCCCCACGAGTGCCTCGGGAGCCCACGGAAAGGTGGGACTGCCAGGATTTTTGTCTCCCTGCCCCTGAGCCTCTCCCCTCCCCCTCCTCCAGATCTAGAGTTGGATTTTTTTTCTTAAGTTGCCGCAATTTGAACCCATTATTCTGAGGGAAATGAGCGCTATCACTGTGTGAGTGAGCAAGTGTGTGTGAGTGAGCGTGTGCGGGGATGGTCTGGGCGTTCTAGGTCTCTATCCCAATCCCCCGCGTGCGTACCCAGCCAGCCGCGGCGCCCTCCCCGCCGGTCTCCCGCCCGCCCGCGCCCCGCTCGCCCCCCGCGTTCCCGGCTGCTCGCCGGCGCCCGAGCGCGCGGCCCCGCGCGGGCCCCCAGGCTCCGGCGGACAAGCTGCCCTCGCCGCCCGCAGGTACTCACCTAAAAAGAAGAGGAGGCAGAAGGCGTTGGCCAAGATCATGTTAAATAAATCCCACAGTTTTTTTGTCTTTCTCCCTTGGGTAAAAAAAAATAATAAAAATAATAGCCAAGCAGAGAGAATCAGCCCCAAATCCAATGCGGAGATCCCAGCTAGCCCACCCGGCGAAGATCCGAGTCCTGCGATTCTCGCCTCTGGCTGGAGAGGTGGGGGAAGGAGTGCGGCGGGCTGCCCCTCGACGCCCCCCGCCCACTGAAACCAACACACACGTAGCTGTGTGTGTATCCGCTTGACAAGCCGGCAGCCGGGTCCTCAGGTCTGCCCTCCCTCGCTCGCCCGGGAAGGCGCGAGTCCCCGCGGGTCCAATTCCCCCGCGCTTCCCGGGAGGGGACTGGGGAGGTGAGGGAGAGGCGCGGTGAGAGCGAGGGCTGGAAGGAGGCGGCGAGGGGGGGGGGGGTCAGAATAAAATGCAAATAGGAAAGAAATCCACCGACGGGTATAAGCGCCAAGGAACAATCCAGCGGGAGCTTCGAGGACGAGAGACCGGAGTCGCTTCTTTCGCACCAAGACGAAGAAAAGATTCAAAAAAATCTTCTCCCGCTAACCCTTGCTCGTCTCACTTTTTGCTAATGGAATTCCAGTGGCCGTGTGTCTCTGCGTGTGTGTCTCTCCCTCTGCTCGCCCTCCTCTCCTCTCCGCGGCTCTCGCTCTTTGCTCTCGCTCTCGCCAGCTCTCCCTCGCTCTCCTCACTCCCTCCCCCCCTTCCTCTCTCCCTGCTCCTCCCTCCGCCCGCCCCCTTCCCCCTTCGCGGCTCCCTCGCCGCGGCTCTCGCGCCCGCGCCCCTCTCCGCCCGGGGCTCGGCGCTCCGGCTCCCAGGCGGCTGGCGGCGCGGGGAGCGGGAGCGCGGCGGAGCAGCGACGCTCTGCAGCGGCGGCGGCGACACGGCGGTGGCGGTGGCGCTGGGGAACGCTGGCCGAGAGGAGAGCTCCGCCGCTGGCTCCCTCTGCTCTGCCGCCTGCCCTTCCCCGCACTGACCTGCTGCCTTGGCCGGAAGCTGACCGGCTCCCCGCCGCTACGGCTCAAA